ATCCCTCTGGGCCAGGGCAGGCTTTTTTGTCCTCCAGGCTCATGGCTCTCTTCCTTAATGAGATGCTAGTCATGGACCAGTTCATGAATGACTATGTGGAAGAAGCCAACCGGGAGATCGAAAAGTATAACCGGGAGCTGGAGCAGCAGGAATACCACGATCTCTTCGAGCAGAAGCCTTAGAGGAAGGCTGCAGAATGTCCACTCGAGATGGACAGGACGGGTGTCTTAGCCTCAGTTCCTCCAGAGGCCCCTCCTGCAGGGGCTGTCTTCGTTCTCCTTGGCCTTTGTGTGCTGGCTTGAGTGCATGTTGTCTTTATTCTCTTTGCAGCGCTGAAGAGCATCACCTGCACTACTGATTTGGGGGGATGGGTCCGCATGGAGCATGAGCAGACAAGGACTGCAGTGTGTGTGGCTGGCAGTCCAGGACCTCCAGGTCTCTCGCAGTATCTCCTTTGGGTGGTTGAAGCACTGTGTGCGTGTGGGGAAGCATGTGGAGTGCACAGAGGAGCTGCTAGGATGCAGAAGGAACCCTAGCTACCCAAATTGGAGCCACCCTTGGGGAGGGCCAGGCCACCACAGACCTCAGGCCTCAAGACAGTGCCCCAGAAGAGCCTTATCCCAGTGCCTGCCTTCCTGGTCAGGCTCCTCCCATTGAGGGACCTGGCCCTGCTGGCCCTGGGCCAGTCCTGGGGGGACAGCACAAGCTCTGCCCCAGCCCAACCCAGAGTCAGCTGGGGCTGAGATCAGTAGCTGTTCTGAAATGAGGGGCTTGTCCTTACAGACTAAACTGGAAGGCGTCCTGCTTTCCAGAAGCGTGTGGCTTTGAGCTGACACAAGCAGTCCCCTCAGGATTGGTTTTGAGTCCCCTTATAGTATCACTCCCGTTTGCCTAATTCAGGGGCCAGAGCAAACCTGCTGCTGAAGGCTCCCTGGTGATGCTTTGCCTCACTGCTGAGGGGAGCATCCTGCAACTGCTCAGTTTTAGGTCCTGATCATTTTTTGGGGTGTCATTGAATGGGGTTCAGTCTCCAGCACCTAACCCTCCCCTCAGCCTTACCAGGGAAGGTCTGGATTTCGGCCACAAACTTCAGGAAATTCGTGCCCCCAAGCAGGTATGTCCCATGCTGACCTCCAGAACTAGTGTGGAGAAGGGGAGGTCCCAGGCACCGGTATTTAGGTGATGTCTGTTAGGACTTCAGCGCCTCAGCTGCCTAGGTTGTAAATGCTTTCTGAATTTCATGTTGTTGTTTTGCATGCCTTAGGAACAAGCACATAGGCGAAACCAGCAAAGTTTCCAGTAATGTAGTGGGGTTTTTGAGAAAGGCCCCTGGTGCAGAGGAGTCAGAGAAAGGATGGAGCACATGTAGTCTGTGTGCCTGGTCACACAGAGGCCTGCATGCAAGTACGAAAGCAATCGTGTGGGCTTGTCGCTACCACGTACTTGTATTAGGAAAAAACAATTTGTATTTGAAGCCAAATGAACAAAACTCCAGTACTACTGAGTAAGAAATCTTGCATGAAGAAAGGCTTCTGAAGACTCATGTTCTCCAGTCCCAGCTCCCAAAGCTGCTGGTGACAAGGCCCCAGGTGTGGAGCCCAAGTCTGGGAGCCCCTAATGTCTGGCTGGCCAGAGTTTGGGGTTCACAGTGGACTTGCCTCTGCTCCAGAATCAATAACATAGATATTAAGTGCAATTGATTAAATAAGCAATGAGTTACTTGTAGCTTCCTTTAGCTCTACCGAGCTCTTTTTAAAAACTCAAACTTGAGCAGCCTTAGAAAAGGGGTGGGTGGGGTGGGTGGGACCATTTCCTCCAGGTGGGTTGCTGTGAAGTTTTAAATGAAAGCTCCAGATCTTGGAACTCGAGCCATTTCCTGGCTGCTGCACAAAAGAGTTTTTAAAGAGGGGTCGGAACCCGCCCGTAGCAGCGGGTCTTCCCACTGCGTGGGCTGTACTTACGTGGTGGTCTTGGTTCTGACCATTGTCCGGAGAAATGCTCTCTCACCAACTTGCCCCTCTTAGAGGGAAAACTGTGATTACCTCAACCAGAATATGAAACTGTGATTGAAAAAGTCAAAACGTTAAGTTTAAAAGCCAAGTGGCAAAACTGGCTAAGGCCTCCTTAGACACTCCTCAGCCTGCTCAGGAGTGTGCAGGGGCACATAGGTGAAAGGGCATTTCACTCCTTGGGGCACACTCTGTGCCTGATGCAGAGACACACTAGCAGTGCCCAGTGTGAGCTCTTTGAGGACTGAGGCCGGGGGTGCATCCTCCGCACTGCCTCTTCCAGAACCTGCGGGCCTCTGGGTTCTGACCGTGAAGTTTAATATCCACTTGATTCCTCCAGGTGGAGGGTGGGGGCTTGGCTGCCTCTCGAGGAAGGGCCATGACACTGTGTTTTAGATTTTGACCTTAGAAGTGGATACTAAGGACCCAGCAAAGACATCGGGTGAGGGTTCCTAGGGACAGGCAGAAGTCCTCCAGGGGCTGACATGCTTTTTGCCAACTTTCCTGTTAGCAGCTTCAGTTTTATATCACCCAGAGTGAGTGTGATACTGTTGAAATCGCTGAAGTTATGGGTCATTTTACGTTTTGATGTGGGATTTTTTATTTTATTATATTTGGAGGGAGGAGGCAGAAATTGGAGAAAAGGGATTACCCTAGGAAGGGGCGGCTAGCAAGGAGTTAAGTTGGCTCCCCTAAGCCCTGGGGCTCTCTGACCTCAGCCTGCACACAAGGCCCTGCAGGTCACAAGAAAAAGTTCCCTCCTAAATTCAATTAGGATTCTGGAGAATTTTTGCACAGTAATAAGCTCTGAGTTGCTCTTCAGGCTTCTCGAAAGGGAAAAGTTAACTCAAAGATTGTAAACTATTAAGTATTCATTCCAGCATGTTGCTGACCTAGTTGGATAGTTGTACCTCAAAAGTAGGTGAGAAATGGCTTCCTCATTGTCTTCGGTTGTCAAATACTAATGACAGAAGAAGAGCTCACTTACGTGCCAAAATTCACTTTTATACTAGTTTTCAGTGCTTTAATATTTGTAACTTAAATTTTAAAACTCATTTACAAACACTACTGTAACTTCAGTGAAACTGAATTGTGTGATTGAAGCTTTTTGCTTATTATAGTATTTATTACACTACTTAATTCAGTAAATATATTAAAGTAGCCTTCAATTTATTTTTATATTATTTTACATGTTTTTACCTGCAGTTGTGTATTTGAATTGACCTTGGTAACAGATGTGATGCTAAGGACCAATAAACTATCACTGAACAAGCAAGGCCTCCCTTCGTTGCTGTCCCTGTAGACCAGCCGTGGGCAAACTACGGCCCGCGGGCCGGATCCGGCCGTTTGAAA